AAATGCAGATATGCATTACGATTGCAACGAGAAGAAGCATAATACAAACAGAAATGAAACAAATCAAACAATTACTCATCATTAAAGAAACTAAAAAAAATGAACTGTAAGTGGTACGACACTCCCTCCCTTCATATCCATCCTGCCTAAAAGCGAGTATCTGCGATAACAAAAAAGGAAGCATCGAATGCAAGAAGAAAGATGTGATATTAAGAATTGAATGTTAAAATAGAATGAAGAGAATGGCTGCAACGAGAGATAGCGAGAGAGAGATAACTAGAGAGAGAGAGAGAGAGAGAGAGAGAGAGAGAGAGAGAGAGAGAGAGAGAGAGAGAGAGAGAGAGAGAGAGAGAGAGAGAGAGAGAGAGAGAGAGAGAGAGAGAGAACGAAAGAGAGAGAGCGGGAGAGAGAGAGAGAGAACGAGAGAGAGAGAGAGAGAGAGAGAGAGAGAGAGAGAGAGAGAGAGAGAGAGAGAGAGAGAGAGAGAGAGAGAGAGAGAGAACGAACGAGAGAGAGAACGAGAGAGTGAGAGAACGAGAGAGAGAGAGAACGAGAGAGAGAACGCGAGAGACAGAACGAGAGAGAGAGAACGAGAGAGAGAGAGAACGAGAGAGAGAGAGAGAACGAGAGAGAGAGAACGAGAGAGCGAGGGAGAACGAGAGAACGAGAGAGAGAGAGAACGAGAGAGAGAGATCGAGAGAGAAAGAAAACGAGAGAGAACGAGAAAGAGAACGAGAGAGAGAACGAGAGAGAGAGAGAGAGAGAGAGAGAGAGAGAGAGAGAGAGAGAGAGAGAGAGAGAGAGAGAGAGAGAGAGAGAGAGAGAGAGAGAGAGAGAGAGAGAGAGAGAACGATAGAGAGAGAACGGGAGAGAGAGAACGGGAGAGAGAGAACGTGAGAGAGAGAACGGGAGAGAGAGAACGAACGAGAGAGAACGGGAGAGAGAATGGGAGAGAGAGAACGAGCGAGAGAGAACGGGAGAGAGAGAACGGGAGAGAGAGAACGGGAGAGAGAGAACGGGAGAGAGAGAACGAGCGAGAGAGAACGAAATGGACTGAACGTGCAACCTATTACAATCTTTATGTACAACCTAAGACGAGGTTGAGAAAAAAATGAACTAAAACATGCAAATATGATGAAAAGGCAACTGACGAGAGGAAAAGTTTAAGGATGAAGAATAGAAGAAACAGATGCAAGCTTATGCAGGAAGGAGAACCTGAAATCTTTACAAAGGGCCGAAAACCTAAGTTTAAACAACTAAGCCTCGCTAATACTCATCCATTTACACGGTTAGGATACGGAATGACTAAATGTTAGTCTATCTAATAGGCATCTAATTTAGTTGGAGTTAAAATTGAGGGATCATCTTACCTAAGTTGCAGTTAGAGTAGGTGGAGAAGTTGGTAGAGCGTGACAAGCGAGAAGGAGAAGCGGGAGAAAAAAAGGGAGAACAAACCCTAAGGTAGTCTCAGATTCTTCGCAAATTTAAATGTCCTATTAACTCTGTTATTCGAGATAGACATTAGTGCTGTCGCAGTCGTACAAGGTTGACGGTGGAATCGAAAAGTCTCCTGCTCGTTTCTCATTCACGTGGTATTTTTTATCTTTGCTTGGTGAGAGGAAGTACCACTTAGTGTCATACTACGGCATAATGTACAGAATTAGAAGTTGTACAAATTTATATAATTACGCAAAACGCTTCGCAGCCCTAAGACGAATTCGTCGCCTCTTTTTTTTTTTTTTTCCTTAGGATCTTGTTTATACTCCATCTCGTTGAGGTGCGGAAACACTCTCACTATATGTAGGATACACGGAGGATAAACAGACTATAGTAAGACACCTATCAGACAGCTATCCCCGCCCACCCATCTCGTCTTTCCTTCCCATACCCTCTTTATGGCTCCCGCACACCTCGTCATTCCCCCGCACACCTCGTCATTCCCTGGCACACCTCGTCATTCCCCCGCACACCTCGTCATTCCCTGGCACACCTCGTCATTCCCCCGCACACCTCGTCATTCCCCGGCACATCTCGTCATTCCCCCGCACACCTCGTCATTCCCCCGCATACCTCGTCATGCCCCCGCACACCTCGTCATGCACCTACACCGTTTTGCACATCCCTCACCCCAACCTCCCACCAACCACCCTCCCTTTTTCCAGCCCCGCGGGATTTTACAAATGAGCCTGAAGCATCAATTCAAGTCTGAAGCCGACTAATGCATGCGCTATAATATACCACAGGCCTCCATGTTACCAGGCGACATCCTTTTCAAGCCTCTCCACCTCCCTCCTCCACCCCTCCCCTCTCCCCCCCCTCCCCCTCCCCCCCTCTCAAAAATCAGCTGCCCTGGTATGAGGGACCAGGATGCATTCATGGAAGTGTGCCCCGACCCGAGGCAGACCCATACACCTGCACCACTCTCCATCTCTCTCCACCCATCATACTGCTCCATTCTCCCCTATCTCCAACCCCCTCCCCGCCCCAAATGCAGCTTCCCTGGTATCAAGGACCAGGATGCATTCATGGAAGTTTTGAGTCGACTCAAAAGTCTCTTCTCCCCCCCCTCCCCCCCTCTCGGTAAACAGCTTCCCTGGTATTAAGGAGCAGGATGCATTCATGGAAGTGCGCCCCCAGGCAGACCCATACACCTGCACCACTCTCCATCTCTCTCCACACATCATACTGCCCCAAATATAGCTTCCCTAGTATTAAGGAGCAGGATTCATTCATGGAAGTGCGCCCCCAGGCAGACCCTACACCCGCGACACGCTCCATCTCTCTATCCACTACCTGCCGACAAATCGTTTCGGCGGTTTCTGCGAGATCGGGCGGCAGCTGGGGCGGCTGGTCACTGTTCATTGTAACTGCTGTATCGGACTGGAGGAGAAGATGCAAGTGATGCAGCAGGTGAGTATGATATTTCCCTCACACTATCTTCACATTATGCCTGCGATTGCTTCTCCACACTCCCTTCTCTTCCTCCTTTCTCCCCATCCCGTGTCAAAATACCGACTGTGGGTTCAAGTCACCTATAAAACTTCTTCTCTTGAGTGTCAATGGCATGGCATGGTGAGATGTTTCTGTAGCCTATGTACCCAACATTTGAACAACAACAATTTTGCTGTGTGGATGGCATTGCATGTCATGGAATGGAATGGAATGGCATGGCATGGCTTGGCATGGCAGGTCTTGGGTGTTGTGGATGGGTTTCGGCAGCTACCATTGGTGGACCGGGAGGGAGTGGGGTGGCGTGGAAAGGAATGGACAGGGAGGAAATGCTCTATGATGAAGGGCAGGTTGGTAGATTAGCTGGTCTGGTCACTAAAATAAATGCTCTCTGACCTGCTTCCATGATGTGTTTTGTGAAGGAGTTTTTTTTTTTGTAATTATGTGCCACAGCTTCTTTCCGCAATTTCATGCAAACCCCTTACTACCTTCATCGCCCAGATAGCAGACAAATGTGTCTTATCTCATTCACGGTAGATGTTTCCATTCAAATCTATAGCTTCTAGTGAGATCATACGCTCGCAAGGTTCCTCATGTGCACATCGTACCTGATAAAGATATCGCGTTTCCCATAACGAGAATGCAGCCTCGACAGAATCACCAACCCCAAGGCCGCAAACCGCCCAAGACAAATACTCCTGATGCCTGTTTGAGCCCCTCCCGGTTGCCTTGTGAAGGGGGCATATAAGCTGTATCGTGCGTTTCGCATAAGTTCGTTAATTTCGCAGCTAGCTAAAAAGAATTCGCATGTGCTTATAAACAAGACCCTGCTACCTAGTTACCTAGTTTGACTTCAGTCTCTTCTGCTTGACTTCGGTCTCTTCTGCTTGACGCGCTTGTAATGTGGGTGCATGAAGCTGGGGAAACAACCTCGGGTGCAGCGTGTCCATCCGGCGCAAGGCAAATTCGCGCGCATGGGGTGAGCATCAGCTGTAACATGATTCAAGCCAAAGCCAAAAGAGTCCAGTTCCCGCCAAACCTCCAGCAGGTAGCACGCACACCACCGCACCGCACATTAGTTGCCACGTGGCGGGAATGCACGGCCATCTCGTAAAGCACTCGTTAGTCTCCGATCCTCGTCGAGCTCACAGGATGCCGCCGACATATCTGTCAGGCGAGATTTGGGACGTTTCAAAACCGTCAGGCACAGCACAGATGTCGTACTATCACCATCGCCGCCGTCGCGACCCCGTTGTCCAAGGTCGCGCAGAGCAATTTTTTACCTCGTTGACGGCTAATGGCACTACCAAAACAGCCTTGAGTTGGTTCAACCATGAGTTGTTATCACTCACTAGCACCATCACCGCCAGCACCGCCACCACCACCTCATTCCATGACCACTTATACGGAGCGCCGGTTGCGGTTTGTCGACGCGCCGCATGTGCACCGCGTCGCTGCCGTGGCCGCTTCGCCTACCCCCGGAGCAAAAACTGGTCGTCGCAACTCAAGAGGCTCGTGAAGGGTCCCGTCCGTATGAGACAGCTACCCTGCGGTATTTCGTGTCGAAAGAGCTTTCGAGTCCATACGGCATTCGCTCTATCCCGGGTTTGCTTGCATTGATCGAAAGCCCTTTGAAACGTCTCCCAACTTGAGGGGGGTCGTTGCGTCAGTCTGTGTAATTTCTGCGCATGTAAGAATCGGTGGCTACGCATTTGAGTTTTGAGACGACTCAAAAGTCGGGAATCGGTGGCTACGCATGTGAGGATTCTCAATAGCGACTATATGGGGTTGACTTTTGAGTCGACTCAAAAGCTGCAACCTTCTTTCTAGAAATCAGCCGAGTCTTGGAATTGGGTTTGAACTTGAATCTGATTTCTGATCTCGTACTGATGCCGTTTCCGTCGTCAAGTGACGACCCCAGCCATGCCGTTTCGGCTGCCGCCTCCTCAAGCACGACTCCCACAGCTCCCAACCACGTGAACGACTCCCATGGCGGCAACAATAGCGCACTAAATGTCACGGACGGCGATTCCCAAGACTCTACAAGCAGGATGAAAGCACTGGACACTGCTGCTCGCCCCCTCATGTTTCCTTCCCCAGCCCATGAATCCTCTCCCGCCTCGCCTCCTTCCTCACCTCCCACCTCGCCTTCTGCCTCTTCCTCCTCCTCCTCCTCACCGCCCTTCTCCCTCCCTGCTATTAGGGATCGCCTTAGGCCTTTCTTTCTCTCTCCCTCGAACAGTGAGCACCTGCCTGTCACTCGAGACGACCCTCATCCCTACCATCCCTCCCATCCCCCCAATCACGCGCTAGCCCTACCCCGCCTACGGATAACCCCAACTCTCTTCAGCAACACTCTCCTGCTCCTCCTCTCGTTGCTCATCCTCCTCCCCCTCCTTGCCATCCCTCTCCTTGCGCCCCCCTCACCGCTCCCCCCACCCACTGCTGCCGCACAGCCTGCTGCGGAGGGGTCTTTGGGGCAGGAGGTGGGGGGAGAGGAGGATTACGGGGCGAGTGGCGGTGGGGGGATCGAGGTGACGGACAGTGATGGCAGTGGTGGTGGAGGGAGGGATGGCAGTGAGAGAGGAGACGAAGGGGTGATGGCAGCAGGCGATGGATCAGATTATGCGAACCATTACCCGTGCTCTGAACCAAGGTACTCAGACAAATCTCCCTTTTCCTCCCCTTCTTCCTCCTTCCACCTCCCCTGTCTTCCTCCCCTCTCTTACCGCCTCGCTTTCCTCACCCCCTCCCCTTCTCCCTCCTTTTTCCACACACTATCTCGCTTATCTTGCTTTCCCTCCTTTTCCTGTGGTCGAACCGTTTGACCGGTTCAACGGGAAACGTGGCAGGAGCCTAGAGGAGGCTCTTACCGACCTGGCCACGTCAGCGGGAATGCCGCCTCCAGTGACAAGCAAGCAACCAGCGCCTGACGTGGCGCCACAGGGTTTGCGCGCAGCAGAAGCTGCTGCTGACGCAAAGAGGGTCAGCAAAAACAGCAGCACAGGCAGCACAACAGGCAGCACAGCTGGCAGCAGCAACGCTGGAAATGATGAAAGGGTGGATGAAAAGGACGAGACGGAGGATTCAAGGGTGGTAGCAGAGGAAGGGGAGTCGGGGCGTGGCCTGGTGATAGTGACGGTTTTGTCAGAGGCGTGGATACCCATGATGAAGATGTTCTTAACGAGGATAAGACTGGTTGATAACAGAGACGAGGAGACGAACATGCAGCAGATGCAACAACAGGAGCAGAAGCTTCGGGAGCAGCAACAGCAGCAGCAACAGCAGCAGGAGGAGTACCTGAGAGGTGCAGCAGCTGAATCCGCACCGTCAGATTCAGATATTCCAGGCACGGGGCGCATGCCCCGAATGCCACGCACGCTGGTGTCTCGCCTGCTGGTGATCTGCTATGACCACCGTAGCCTGGAGTTCTGCTCCTCGCTCCGCCTGCACTGCTTCCTGGACACTCAGGTGTGTCCGCCTGCACTGCTTCCTGGACACTCAGGTGTGTCCGCCTGAACTGCTTCCTGGACACTCAGGTGTGTCCGCCTGCACTGCTTCCTGGACACTCAGGTGTGTCCGCCTGCACTGCTTCCTGGACACTCAGGTGTGTCCGCCTGCACTGAACCCTTGACGTGCAGGTGCGTGTGGCGAAGGTATGGGGCATGGGGCACGAGGCACTGCGAGGCACGTTGGTGCCTCGCCTGCTGGCGATCTGCTACGACCACCGTAGCCTGGAGTTCTGCTGCTCGCTCCGCCTGCACTGCTTCCTTGACACTCAGGTGAATCTGGCTGAGGGCAATTGAACCAGCAGCAGTTTAGGCGTCAGGGGAAGGGGGGGAAGACGGGAGCACTGCAGTATCTCTAAATGATGACTTCACCTCTCACTTCACAAGGTGTCAGTTCGAGGAATCTTCCTGTTTTCAATCCACCCCACCTCACTCCTGCACTCGTATGCGCACCTGGAATGGCTTCTCGTCCCTCTTTGTTTCCATCTCTCTGTTTCCATCTCTCTGTTTCCATCTCTCTGTTTCCATCTCTCTGTTTCCATCTCTCTGTTTCCATCTCTCTGTTTCCATCTCTCTGTTTCCATCTCTCTGTTTCCATCTCTCTGTTTCCATCTCTCTGTTTCCATCTCTCTGTTCCATCTCTCTGTTTCCATCTCTCTCTTTCCATCTCTCTCTTTCCATCTCTCTCTTTCCATCTCTCTCTTTCCATCTCTCTCTTTCCATCTCTCTCTTTCCATCTCTCTCTTTCCATCTCTCTCTTTCCATCTCTCTCTTTCCATCTCTCTCTTCCATCTCTCTGTTTTTGTGTGCAGGAGGATGCTCCAAAGAGTGAGAGGGACGACTTCAGTGGCGGGCAGAAGAAATTCATGACCCCCTCCTATCTGCACCTGGTATTGTTCCTTTCCTGGGCGGGCAGTATGCTACGAGATGCCTATGGTCGTATCTGATGCTTTTCCTTGTTACTGCCCTCTAGTCTTCTTATCACATCTTAGCCCACTCAACCACTGTTCCTGTAGATTATCTCTTGGTCTCTGCTCATCTCTCATCCGTCTCCATCTCTCTTTATCTCCTCTCCTAATCTCTTTCTTCGTTTTCATCCTCCCCTCTGCCCAGATGTGGAGGCGGCTACATATCATCAGGCAAATCCTGTCTTTGAGATTTGATGTGATCTTCACAGACAATGACGTCATTTGGCTGCAGGTGGGGTGACAGTGACGTCAGGTGGCTCCTATATAGCAGCTTTAGGTAACCAGGTGCAACCAGATTCATTTACAAGCACAAAACACACACACCACACACAGACACGCACACGCACGCACGCACGCATGAACGCACGCACGCACACAGTGCTACATGGCAGATCGTACTATGCCTGACCGACCCTCCTCTGCTGACCCTCACTTTGTATCGCTCCTCCATTTTCCCTCATTCCCTCCTCCTCTCCGCTCCCTCCACCAGAATCCACTTCCCCACCTGCTCAACGTCTCTTCCGACTTGCTCATAGCGTGCGATCGCTGGTCAGCAAGCCCCAAGGCAGCAGCAGAGGTGTCTTTATATTCAAACCAATTATCTCTACCATCCTTCCCCCCTATCCTCCCCTCCACCAGAACCCCCTTCCCCACCTGCTCAACGTCCCATCCGACTTGCTCATAGCGTGCGATCGCTGGTCAGCAGACCCCAAGGCGGCAGCAGCCAATGGGGGCTTCTACATGGCTCGCAGCAACGACCGCGTTTTGCGATTCTTTGACTACTGGTTGGAATCTCACACTCGGTATGTTTCACTTCCATGTTTCATGTTTCTCTGCCGTTTGACTCGATTCAAAACTCGTCTTGGAGCAACGAACGGCCGTGTGCTGCACTTCCCTGACCACTGACTTTTGAGTCGACTCAAAAGTCAACCCGTGTGCCGCACTTCCCTGACCACTGACTTTTGAGTCGACTCAAAAGTCAACCCGTGTGCCGCACTTCCCTGACCACTGACTTTTGAGTCGACTCAAAAGTCAACCCGTGTGCCGCACTTCCCTGACCACTGACTCTCAACGCCCACACCCAATAAGCCCTCCTCTACTTCCATCCGTCAAACCCGGTGGAGCGTCTCTTGATTCAACTCATTTGCGGAAGCCGATTGGGGGTTTGTGCCTCTCTGATTAGCGGCACCTCTCTGATTAGCGGCACCTCTCTGATTAGCGGCACCTCTCTGACTGCCGCCTCAATGGACACACCCGGCAATTCTCTCCTTCCCCGCTCCTTTCTCACACCCAGCACGCGTCTCCCTCTTTTCTTTTTCACAAGGTTTTTACAAGCAAGCACAAAACCAAACTACACAACGTTTTGCTAAACACAGCTGCTGCCACGCTACGCCATGCCTCCTACGTGGGGATCCATTGGTCCTTCCCCGCTCCTTTCTCACACCCAGCACGCGTCTCCCTCTCCCTCTCCCCCTCCCCCCTCCCCCTCCCCCTCCCCCTCCCCCTCCCCCTCCCCCTCCCCCTCCCCCTCTCTCACACCTGGTAAGTCCGTCTAGCTTGAGTCGACTTAAAATTTGTTCTGAAAAACACGTGTATGTGGGTGAGGGAAACCCATTACACAGCGCCTCTTATCACTGTCTACATCCCTCTTCCCAACCTCTTTCGTCCCCACTGTATTCCGGCCAGGATGCATTTATGAATATGCGACCCGAAACAGACCCATACACCCGCGACACCCTCCACCTCTTTATCCACTGCTTATGGTATTCTCCCTTCACTCAACTCCCCTTCCGCCCCCATTACAGCTTCCAAGGCATCCGCGGCATCTCTGCATACACTATCCTCCTTTCCTCACCCCTCTCCCCCAACCATCAGCTTCCCCGGTATTCATGATCAGAATGCATTCATGCGAGTGCGACCCGAAGCAGACCCTTACACCCGCCACACCCTCCATCTCTCCATTCATTATACCCTTTCCCCCTACCCCGTTTTCCCCTTCCCCCTTCAACCCCACCACCAGCTTACCCGGCATTCACGACCAGGATGCGTTCATGCGAGTGCGCCCTGAAGCAGACCCATACACTCGCGTCACCCTCCGCCTCTCCGTCCACTACCTGCCGACAGAGAGCTTTAGCGGTTTCTGCGAGATCGGGCGGCAGCTGGGGCGGCTTGTCACTGTTCACGCCAATTGTTGTTTGGGACTGGAGAAGAAGATGCAAGTGCTGCAGCAGGTGGGTTGACATTGCAATATAACAAAGTGAAAAGGTGATCACACAAAATAAAAAGATTGCAGCAGGTCAGTACCTTTTCCTCCCTGTAGATTTCCAACTGCAATCCAATCAGTTCTCCCCACTCCCTTTCCTTCTCGCCTCCCCCCATCTCATGTGAACTTTCTGGATTGGGAATAAGGAGACTTGTAAGAAACACGTCTGCTATATTACCCGGCCCGCTTCCAAACTTTCGAGACTGTCTCATAACTTATCTGTTATATTACATAGGGTATGGCCCGCTGCCAATTGAACAAAATCTTGCTGTGGTTGGTGCATGCCATGGCAGGTCTTGGGTGACGTGGATTGGTTTCGGCAGCTCCCATTGGTGGACAGGGTGGGAGTGGGGCGGCATGGCTTGTCATGGAGCGGGAGAAACTGTATCGTTTGAAAAAACGGCACGACTGAGAAAATTTACCTTTAGTTTGGCAGGAGTGCAGACTACACTTGTACATGTTATTGTTGGCGATGTGTAGCATAAGAGTAGGTATGTACTGTGTGTAGTCAGTCAATGCACAGTCACTTCACACATTACTTTGCAGGGAAGCTTCCTGCTTGTACTGGAGAAGCTTCTGCTTGATGGTACCGTATTCTCCTGGACAAAACACCCCCCCGTAATTGTACACCCCCGGGTAGCTTGTGCGGGGTGGGTATTATGATAGACCTCGTTTCTACTATACCCCCCTTTTTGGCCGATTTTCTATAACACCCCCCTTTTCTTGCGAATTCGTTATTGTAGTCGTTAACGAGTAGCTGCAATGCGGAAGAAAATCGCGAAAAAATCTCCCTAGATGAAATTTCGTGGTACATTCACTTACAATCTACCGAGATTTCCCCCCTCCCACTACTTCGCTGTCGCCATGCGCAGGCGAATCTTCCGCTGCAAGTGGCAAGAGAGGTGCCACATGACATTTTCGTGGGGGTGATGAAGTTCGTGGCCGAAACTCACATTCGCACCTCAGGCAGTGATGTTAAAATGAAAATCAAAACACCCACATTGTCTAATTAAATAAACACTAACACTAAAATATACCATATGTAAAGTGTCAGAATGAGGAATGGATGATGCCATTGATGTTGGTTGGGGTACATATTACAAACCCTAACTTCTGTACCCCCTAAGACAAACCTCACTATAGGCTACAACATTTGACACACCCCCATAGCCTAAGTGAGGTTTGTCTAGCAAAATCAAAAAGAGTACGGTCACAAGACCAGTCCAAAAGAAAACAAAGCTCAGGGTGGATCACAACGTCACCACACACTCTGAGCACAAGCAACAGTGGCCACAAGGCCAGTCCAAGAGATCACAAGTATATATAGCAAGAGTACAGACGAAGCAGGCAATAAACTCAAGCCTACACATGGCTAGAACCTGTGTCAACAAGGCCTAACTGCACACAACACCTCTGGTGGTCACGAGGCGGAAGCGCCTTGGTGAAGATGTCTGCAGTGTTGACCTCGGACTCCACAAACTCGAAGCGAGCCTGTCCACGCCTCTGCAACTCTCGCAGAAGAAAGTACCTGACGTGAATGTGCTTCACTTTGCTCTCCAGTCGCGGCTCACGACAGAGGAGGATCGACGCCTTGTTGTCAGTGAACAAGGTCGGTGCAGAGCTCGGCCGCTCACCAAGGTCGGCGAGCAAGAAGGTCAACCACCGCAACTCCTGTGCCGCCATGGCACCAGCGTAAATCTCAGCCTCAGCTGTAGAGGTCGAGACAGAAGAGGAGCGCGTGGAACGCCAGGAAACAGCTCCAGAACCCAGATTGAAACAGTACCCCTGAGTAGACCTGTGAGTCTCAGCGTCGTCAGCGTAAGAGGAGTCACAGTGACCAGTGAGTACGACAGACTGCTGCCCTCCAAGAACTAGCCCCACGCCTGATGTAGTCGCTAGGTACTTCGCCACCCTCACAGCTGCCGTCCAGTGAACAGGACGGTGTCTCCCTGGCGCAACAAAGCGCGCAAGGATGCTGAGAGGGAAGCCCATGTCAGAATGAGGAATGGATGATGCCATTGATGTTGGTTGGGGTACATATAACAAACCCTAACTTCTGTACCCCCTAAGACAAACCTCACTATACGCTACAACATTTGACATAAAGACCCGTGTATTGTGTGTTTTTTTTTTCCCTGAGACACCCCCCATTTTTTCCCTGTATTTTTAGCTACACCCTAGGGTGTTATGTCCGGGAGAATACAGTACTCAATAAACACACAACTGAGGACATGCATCATAATGAGTCCACCTTTCTTTTCCTAGATATAGAACCAAAACCTTCCAGATACTCATATTACAGAATGGAGGAAAGAAGAAGTAAAGGCAGGGTTGGCTCGGCGCAATGCAAGAGAGAATATCGAGTTGAAGGTTGAGAGCACTTTTGGAAATTCTCAGGGAGCCAGCAGGTCAGCTGCACCACTCATCCAAGTGCTCACTCGGTGCTTGCTTTGAGTAAGCAAATCTCTGAACAGCTGGCACTGGACCGTTGCTCAGGCAAGCGCAGTCACTGTGCAGTGGTCTGCGAGAGCCTTTGCACGGAGGTGGTGCAGCTGGCAACGGAGAGCAGCGCAACGCCCGTTGACCACCTTCCTACGGTACTACCGGTACCACCACTTGCGCCATCACCAAAGTGGCACTACTCAGAGTCGCTTGGCCTGGGACAGCCTCTGCACGGCCGTGGTGCAGCGGGCATCGGAGCGCAGTTTGTTTCACTCAGAGTTTCCTACCACCACTGCCATCAGCAACGCGGCATACTCACAGGCGTTTGGCCTGAGAGAGCCTCTGCACGGCAGGCATATGGAGAAAGTGCCTATCCACCCACCTTCCTATCACCACCACCTTTACCACCGCAGCAACCACAAGCACAGGACACTACCACTACTCACAATCTCTAGGTCTGAGAGAGCATCGGCACGGTCGTGGTGCAGCTGGCATCGGAGCGCAGTGCCTGTACTAACAGCTGGTGGATGCGGTTCTGGGTGGCAGTGAGTTCGTCCTGTAGTGGGGAAGGGCGGATAGCAGCGAGGGGCAGAGAGGGGTAGAGGGGTTGACGGCGATGGAATGGGTAGACAGGGGCATAGAAAGTTGGTGTCGATGGTGGGTGAATGATAGCAAGGGATGGAGGGTAATGAGGGTGCTTGGGAGAAACAAAGGCATGGAAAAAACAGCTTAGTCTCACAATTGACTCACCCCTCCCACACCTCGGCGATGGGTTTTGTCAGAATCCCAGCCACTAACTCATGTGATAAAATGACTTGTTTGTGTAGCGGGTGAGTGCGGCCTTAAGCCCCCTGACCAACGTGCCTGTAACCCTTCCCTAGGATCAACCGGGGATCTCCAGTAGACCTCTGACAGGTTTATCATGCGTAATGCATGCAGGACGGCCTAGGTGATCACCTGATTGCCCGGGTAGGAGAAGAGACAGTGGTCCAGGGTTTCATTGTTGTTGCAGTACGGGCAGACCCTATTACTTCTGAGGAAAGCCACCTCTCCCTGACCTGAAGATTTTGACTCTGGATTTGCAGTAGGACTCCTAAAAAATATCACTACTCGACATATAGTGTTTTCCATAACGAGTACTCAATTCTGACAAAAATCCAGTTATACCCAATCCAGGGACCGCAACAACGCGTATGCCTGTGTAAGCCTCGGGATTCAACCCGAGCCGAGGTAATCCAGCCAACGCTGGAAGGAACTCTGATTTCTTGCGAAAGCTAGGAGAAACCGAATATTTACGATACCTACAACATGCAGTCCAGCAGCAGTCATGGTCGAATTTTACCATTCGCGTATTACACCACACACCGAAGAATTAGTTCTTCGCCTGCTGGTAACCCTATTCGCCATTAATAGCGACTTCCCGCGGAGTGAAACGTGCCCTCTGGTGCCTTTTCCTCCCGCCGCGCGTCAGTTGCTACGTGGCGTAGATGCAACATTAGTTGCAAAACGGCCTTGTTGTTTTCTGAACCTCGTCGACCTCCCACATCGCGATCAGTTCTTGGGTGGCTGCGCCTTTCTTTCAAGAAATCAGCCTTCTTTCAGTCTGAGAGCCTTCAAAGTCGGATACAAAACTCGGATTCGAAGTATCGGTTCTCGCGGCGATGCCGTTTCCCACCGTTGATCGAGGAGTCCAATCACAACCCCAAACGTGGCGTTTCAGTTGCTGCCACCTCCGTCCCAAACCCAGATTCGTTGGTAGTGCCTAGCTCCGAACCTCATAGTAGCTCGCATGGCAACAACAGCAGCAGCGCAGCAGTAGATACCAACGATTGCAGTTCCGAAGACTCTAGCAGGATGAAAGCTGCTCGTCAGCAGATGGACACTGCTGCTCGTTCCCTCTTGGTTCCTTGCCCAGCCCCTGCAGCCTCTCCCGCCTCTCCACCCGCACCAACTCCCACCTTGCCTCCCGCCTCGCCATCCGCCTCCTCTTCCTCCTCCTCCTCCTCGCTCCCCTCCTCCCTCCCTTTTCTTCCTGCCCTTGGGGACCGCCTCAGAACTTGCTTTCTCGCTCCCTCCAACAACGGGCACCTGCCTGTCATTCTAAACGAATCTAATCCCTCCCATCCCTCTCACCACGCCCTGTTCAGACTAAGAATAACCCCAACTTTTTCAGCAACTCTCTCCTCTTCCTCCTCTCGTTGCTCATCATCCTCCCCCTCCTCGCCATCCCCCTCCTTGCGCCCCCTTCTCCGCTCCCCCCGCCCACTGCTGCCGCACAGCTTGCTGCCGAGGGGTCTGGGGCGCAGGGGGTGGGGGAGAAGGGGGACCATGGGGAAGGTGGTTGGGGGAACGCTTTTGAGTCGACTCAAAAGGGGGTGGGGGAGAGGGGGACCATGGGGAAGGTGGTTGGGGGAACAGGTTGGGGGACGGTGATGGCAGTGTTGGTGGTGGTGGTGGAGGGAGGGGTGGCAATGAGGGAGGAGGGCACAAAGGGGTGGTGGCAGCGGGAGACGGATCAGATTATTTGAATCATTA